CAGATCGCAATCAGTTGAGGATTCAATTTTCAATCGATTGGCAACCGTTTCATCCCTTCGTCCTCATTAGGGAAGGAGAAATTGATTGTTATATAAAGGGCAGGATTCCGCCGCCCGTCGGCCTTTCGAACTGCGGTAGGTTTCCCTCACCTACTCGACAGCGATCATCACCGCTCGCTCCGCCCTCCGATTCCCCCATACGCGTTCCCCCCCACTCTGCGCCGTTATCGACGCTCTCACACGCTCCCTGTTTTACTTACAGGTACGGACTCAAAATTAGTTCTGCGCCACCGCTACGAAATTTTGCGGTTGAAGCGTTTCCATAGGCGCTAGCAATCTCCCTTATAATCTCTGATTATAATTCAAAACGAATAGAAACACAGAGCACTACCAAAAACGTTACAGCACAGAACAGCGACATCTGTGATCCGCGAATCAACATATTTTAAACCTTCTATAATGTAAGGGTCAAATCGTTGCAATATTACAGAAATTTAATATTGATGGGCATCCCTGATCGAGGGGCATTCGGAGGACAATTTTCTGAATTCTGATTTTGGCCGAACATCGCACACGGAGAGAAATGTCCAGTCAAAATTACGGAACTCACAATTCGCTCACCAATTACGGAATCGACTCAGAAAATTCAAGTGACGGTATCGTAATTTTTCGCAGGAGATTCAGGTAAAAATTACGGAACGCTCTGGAAAAATTCCATGACAGTTCCGTAAAATTTCCTACAACCCCATTTCGCTTCGGAATTACGGAAAAGACACGTAATTTTTATTGAATATTTCTCTCCGTGAACAGGTAGAATCCTACTAAATTGTAATTTCCCATTTCCGTTGTTCCAATAGTTATCACGGCAACACACTCAAAACCCTAATGACATCTGACATTAGGTCTTACTGATTTCAATATATCAGCGTTTCAAGTCTTTGTTACAACAACGAATGGAAAATATTGCTGATTCTTATGCATCCACAATGACCCACGCTGTCCTTGTGACGCTGTCGCCATCGTTGCTGTAAGGATTTTCCAATATCTAGAAAAATTGTATAATCATAGATAAATTCCATCTGCATATCTGTCTAGGAGTTAAGAGGTCAGGGTTAACTCCAAAGATATGAATCGACTCTTGCACTGTTTATTTGTATCCGTCCACATACTCCTGTGACATTTCTACCTATAAAAGAGGCGACCGTGGCCATTTAATGATAATCCTAGAGAAACTAATCATGAAGGCTAAAGTTAGCATTCTTATTTTCACCATTTTCCTCTCCTGGGCGGTGGCCAGATCTCCTCCGAAGCCAGGTGCGTTGAAGAAGAGCCTTATTTAATTTGCAGAACATTCGTTCCAATCAAGTAATTTAGTAGCGAAGTGGTAAAACGGTACAAATCAATTTTGACTATTGACCAGTTGTCAATGAATATCTCGGAATGTAAGAGAGATAGCAAAATATTTTCAAAACCTTTTTTGTAGAGCCGATTGAGAGCTACAACAAATGTAATTACGAAAATTTCGCTATCCCCCAGAGATTCGGAAATATTCCTCAAAAACTCAACTGGGAGATAAGTCGACTTAAATCGTTTTACCACTTCGCTACTGAATTGAACCACTTCTTGCCTTAATACATTTTTCTGTGGGAATAAGGGTTCCCACATAATCCGCAGAGCTGATCGGTTTGGAGAAATTTGAGAAGTAGTTTGCAGGTCATCACTATTTATTAACAAGTTGTGTTTTTCCTCAGGATGTCCCGAACTGGGCTGTCCAGGACCTCTGAGATTCTACAAAGAGTTGGGATGCCAGCCCGTCAAAACGAATCCCGATGACTGCTGTGCGGAAAAATATAACTGTGATCACTTGAAATCTAGATCAGGCGAGAAATGTCACGCTTTTGGCCAGGAATACAGTCACGGAGAACAAGTCAAGGGGGAAGATGGAAGTTGTCTGCCAGAATGTACTTGTTCTAAGATAGGTGACGAAAAGTGAGTGCTACTATCAAAATTCTTCTCGTACACTTTCATCAATAACGTCAAATTCCCATTTTCTAGGGCTGTATGGGCTTGTGCTAGTATTCTATCACCAGCGCCAGCTCCTGCAGGTTGCTTCCGTCCGCGAAACGCTTCAATGTGTTTCGATGGTCCTGATACTTGTCGTAAGAACTCTATAATTTTTCATTTCAATTAAACTCGTGCGCACAATTCTTCCATTAACTATAACTAACATTGAATTCAGCTCCGAACCCAGATGACATTGCGAAGTGTCAAGTAGATGGAACCGTTCTTCACGATGGTGACTATTTCGAGCCGGAATCAGACCCCAACTTGGCCTGTTGGTGTGGTCCTGGTTATGAAGGTAAAGTACAAAAATTTTTCAGTAACTTTTCCTCTCTTAAGGCCCGAGTGGATTATTTTTCGAACGTTATCTCAATTGTTTTTCCATCTTCATAATGTAAAATATGTCACAATTTCCATTGGATTTTACATCACGCAGGAGTCCCTAAAAATTAGGATTGGACAATCAAAAATAGTAGAAAAAAACTGAACATTTTTAATAATGCTCAAAGAGCATTTTTAATAAAGATTAAAAAATAAGTCCGATAGAGGAAATAGTGAATGGATAATTTGTCATGGTAACTGACGATCTGACAGCCATTGACTACTGTGATAAATGACCCAACAGCCATTAGAGACATAAAATTATTAATTTGTCATTTCCTCCCTATTGGGTTTATTTCCCAATATTATTCAAAAACGCTCTGTGAAAATGTTCTGCTTTTTGTCAACGTTTTTTTTTATTGTACAATCATAATTTTTGGAGACTTCAGAGCTATGTAACACTGCATAGCAATTGGAGATCATTTCAAATTATCAAAATGAAAAAAACAACCAAGATCACTTTCGAAAGATAATCCACCCGAGCCTTAAATACAATTTTTTGAACCAATCTAGTTTATAATGCCGTTTATAGGGAAGAATATAGCGCCATTCTGTAAAGACATGCGTGAACAGAAATGTGGAATTGAATTAAACGATAGCTGGGAAATGGAAAATCGTTGTGCTCCAGTATGGAACATTGGACAAGACCCTAGAGTTCATTGTAATTTCATATGGCGATGTCGTAAGTTGATCACTCATAGTCTTAGATTATAACAGCATTCTTCACTTTGGATCTTGGGAGTGCCTTTGTCATGATTTTTCTCATTCACTTTGTCAGAGAAAGATGGCGATGTGGTCACTCCGAGGGAGGAAACTATGGGAACCCCCGAAACCATCACCCCGGATCCTGAGGGTATGACGTGTCAGATCGGAAGTCTCACCCTACGACGTGGAGATGCCCTGGACCAAAAGTCCACCGATACCTTAGATTGTATCAAATGTATATGTGACATCCCACCTATAGCAACTTGTCTCAAATTGCCCAAGGACACTTGTTACATTACTAATGAAGATCTGGCTGATTCTGATGAGAAGACGTCTTAAGCGTGAAAAAAATGTACACTAGTACAATTTTGGTGCAATAAAAATTCTTTTGAGTAGTTGGCAAATCCGTTTATGAATCGATCGAATGCATCCATCATCCTACAATGTGGGGGAAATACATCATCATGTATGAGCAGATCCACGCCAAATCAGAAGGACAAAAAAGTCGATGCTGGGGATTTTCGTCTCAATTTTTTTCTGAAAAGATGGCGATTAGACAAAAACTTGGAAAAAGGAATAATTGAAAAATGTGGGTAACTGAGGCAGTTATGATTTTTTAAAAATTTCTAGTTTTTGTCCAAAAAAAATGTTTTTTCAAATTGGCTCTAATATCTCTTCGGGGTTTCAAGCTATCAAATCGCCCTTTGGCACTCTCAAAAAACAAACAACCCTTCAAAATTGATGGGGTTTATATGAGAAAACGTTTTTTAATCGTTTGAACAAAAACTAGCCGTTTTCGAAAAATCATAACTCTTTCAGTTATCAATATTTTTTAATTTTCCTTTTTTCAAAATTTTCGTCTAATGGCCATTTTTTCAGAAAAAAATGAACAAAAATCTCCAGCATTGATTGTTTTGGCCTGCTGATTTGGCGTGTGTCTACTCGTATACATTTCTCGAAATGAAGATTTACCGAGAGTAGTCAGTTACGTCGAATGCGGATGATTAGTTGTTAGTCTCACGATGCAAACCTGCTTTACTCTATTCCTGAGTGCACTGAAGTGTTCGCTTCATTTGATGATTGATCGTTTTTTTTATTTTTCAATGAAATAATTCCATTTTTCCATTCATTGAACAGTCAAGTTGAATGACGTCTATGACATTGAAGTGTCTTGATCTGACTCCAGATGATCAGCAATTTAAGTTGATATCAACTAAAAATATAAAATAATTTTATCTCATATATTTTCAATGACCCTCACTATCCTAGGTGATACAATTTGTTATCTATGCTATAATATTCTGTCAATAATGAGAAGTATATATATATGCGACACAATATATGACATTCTATCAATGGCAAATTTAGTCGGTCACCACTTTCAAGTTATTTGCCTAATTGAGAGTCCACCTCAATTTTCTTGTTGATTTCAATTCTTATTGTTATAAAGCGACGAAAAAATTCAGTTTCTTCGGAAAATTCGCGTGAGCCCATATACATACATATTACCCTGCATTTTATGCATCATCAAAACCGTGTATACTAGGAAACTCCTGTGTCAGTCAAAGGATGTTCAATAGAATGAAAAGAGGTGTGGCATGAATCGATTTGTTAATCTCCCTCTATCATTCTTCTTATTTTATCCTGAAGTTATCTCATCCTACTCAATTTCAATCGACTAATAGACATCATTTCGATCTTAGATATCATCGCAGCATTTGTATGTATAATCAATGTTATGTGGAGGTGAAGCAAGGTGATATGGAATGAATATAGACGTAGAGCGAAATCGAGTTGTATTTAAAATTGAGTTTTCATTTATACAAATTCACAAATGAATCTAGAGAGTGATTGAATGAATGATTGTAGAGAGTATGTTGTAGGTGAACTGGTTCTCTAGATACGATGAGTTGTCGAATGATGAGCGAGTGAATGATGAAGTGATGATGCATGTTGGAAGTGTCCGATATTTAAAGATAAATTACACCCTTTTCGCCAAAATTCACATTTTTTGAATTTTTCTGGTAAATTGTTGATCGGATTGACGCGAAATAATATACCGTTTTTGCGTTTTACCATTATCGACTGACTCACAAAGTTTCATGGTAGTGCAATCATTTTCCTGCGTTTTTTCTAAAACTTTTCGGAAATTCACAAAACTTTAGAAAAAACGCGGGAAAATGATTGCACTACCATGAAACTTTGTGAGTCAGTCGATAATGGTAAAACGCAAAAACGGTATATTATTTCGCGTCAATCCGATCAATAATTTGCCATAAAAATGAAAAAAAAACGCGAATTTTGGCTGAAAGGGTGTATATCACGGACGAAAAAATTTAATAGAAAAACCTATCGAATTCGTTAGAAAATTCTATTGAATTTCTATTGAAATGTTCTATTAGTTTTTGGTCGATTCTATTGAAATTTTTAATAGAGAATATTCAGCAGAAAAAGTCAATAGAATTCAATTTTTCTATATAACTTATTCTATTGAGATATTTTCTATAGAATTTCCTCGGCTCAAATTTTCTAAGTTTTTTCGTTTGATTTTCTCGATGAGCAGAAAATAAAAATAGAATGAAAAAAACTTAGAAAAATTAAGTCGAGCAAATTCTATAGAAAACATATGAAAAGAATAATAGAAAAATCGAATTCTGTTAACTTTTTCTATTGAATGTTTTCTATTGAACATGTCAATAGAATCAGTCAAAAACTAATAGAAAGTTTAATACAAATTCAATAGAATTTTCTAACGAATTCTATCGAATTCGAATTCGTTTTTCTATTAAATTTTTTCGTGCGTGATCTGTAAGGAGAGTGAGATTTTGGTGTAAGATTCTAATTGGTCAGAAAAACGGAGAAGGGCTGAGTGAATCCTCGATTCCTATTGGTTTGGCGTCGTAACCTTTCGCCACTGGGCCGCGATTGGTTCAGCGATCCCGACGGGAAAATTTCGGGTCCGTAGTTACGTCAGTGGAGTATTTGGGACTCAGTTTATGGCGAGGATGAAATGTTCATCATAGGAAAGTTCTGAGGATTAGGTTTTAATGTTCTGTGTGAGAGTGATGGAGTGATTTTAGAAATTTGGGTAAATTGGTGGAATTGTTCATGTTTAGACAGAGGCATAGTGGTGACACAGCCACCACAGTTATAACATTCTGTCAGTAATTGGAAAATTCTGTAATCTTAAACATATTGCATAACCGTCTATCTGACAGGCGATAAGTCTTTATTTAATGTTATGCATTGCAACTTCCCACCAATGGCCAATAATTACATGACATATAAAGTGACTCGATTGAACTAAGAGCGTCATAGCGATTGTGAACATCACCATGAACGCTCAAATTTGTGCTTTTCTTTGTGCCCTCTGCTTAACTTTGGCGTCGGCAGTTCCGACTCCGAAGCCAGGTAAGGTGTCAATGACGATTTTTTGGTGTTTTACTAACCACCTGAAGTATAATTTGAACGATAGTAAACTCGTATAGAAATTATTATGAATTAAATAACATTTTGATTGATGTAAAAGATTTTCATCAGTTGAAAATCAATCAACAATTTTTTTAATTATTTCGAACATCGCATACAGAGGCGGCGGAACGTTCAAATTTGAGATGTAAATTTTAAGGGAGTAAATTTTTCTGGAATTACAAGGGTCACGAGGGTGAACCGGCATAGTCGAACGGAATTATCAGGAGGATCAAATGGTCTTATTTTCCCTGGTTCCCCCTAATTATTTCAAAACATTGTAATACTTTTCACTTATTTTGTTTATTAATTAATATATCAGACTTTGGAGGTGACATTGCAAACAGGCCTCTTCTTCTCTCCTTTCGTGAGATAAATTCATTCAAAATTTTATCTAGATCTGACTCAGTCAGTCATTGAAAAAGAATACAGTTTTGATAAAATTGTAGAACAATTATTTTTCCAATTTTTTTTTTTGGATGTGGAATTCCCCACTTTATAAATTTTGAGGTATGGAGTGACCAATAAACTCCACTATGGTTCCGCCGCCTCTGATCGCATATGACAATATGACCCGAAATGTATAATAAATACACAGCCTCTTTCCATAGTGACAAAAATACATTATAATTTTCCTCCTTAATAAGGATGTGACATGGACAAGTGTGCCGGACCGATGAAATACTATAACGACATCGGATGTGAACCAGTTTACAAAGATCCAGAGGACTGTTGTCCCCTGAGGTACAACTGTGATCACTTGAACTCTAGATCAGATGATAAATGTTACGCCTTTGGTCATGAATACAATCCAACAGAACGCCTTAGGGAGGAGGATAAGGGCTGTAATCGGGAATGTACCTGTGTGAAAGCGGATGATGAACCGTGAGTATTCAGTTGTCAATTTTATTGGAAGCCTTTACCGACGAACTCACATTGCAGGGCCCTTTTCGCTTGTGTTCTTCAGGGAGTTCCATTCTTGCCGACAAAGCCGGGTTGCTTCCGGCATCGCGACGCTTCTTCGTGCGAGGCGGGACCTGAGACTTGCCGTTAGTATTACATTATATATTTTCACTTTAAGGGTGCCAAGTGAATTTGAAAAAAGATTCAAAAAAATTTTTTTCTTTTCTTCCATCATTGGAGAAATATGTATTCATCCATCCGACGAAATTTCAAACCCGCAACCGGAACTAGACATCGAGAAAATAAATGCGGAAAATCCTCTATTTCGCGTGACGAACCTCGAGAAAGCATGGGATCAAATGGGTACG